AAGAAACAATTTGTGAGCCAGAGGTTGCACACTTAATATCACCGCAACTGTCGGGTCGCAAGTCAGCGGTTCTCACTGCGGCGTTTCCATCATTGGTTGTTTCCTTCCTAAATCGATCTCTACCCGATCGCCATTGGTAGAGCAAGGGAGCCGAACGCGGACTCGAACCGCGCTGCTCACGCCGCCTCCGACAGTCCGCAATGATGAGGACTGTACAGAGGCCGCAGAGTATTGAGCAAGTCGCGGTGGCGAGGAAGTCCGGAGATTTTGACTGTGGGGTCGAGGTTTTCCTCAGGAAGCTCTTTGTATTTATTTTTGCTGCTTTCTTTACTGGGTAATCACTCATCGGCTACTGGTTTACCAAGAAACACGCACAATACTTGGTCTAGGGATTTCTCTTCTAGAGGATGGGACATGCGACAGGTTACGTTGCTCTTGGACCATTCCTACCTGTCACAAGTCCACGTCGCACTCATCACGTTCCGAAGGGCAAACGCGGGGTTCGAGTAGACGAGAGTTGTGCGACATAGGGCAATGTGAAGATTGGATTGCAAGGAACGAAGCTCTTCGGCGTGGACTTGTCCCAGATCGCTCGTCGCTGCTGTTTCCACTCTCCCCACCGATCCCTCACCCTCATCCTCAGCTTTACACAGTGCTCAGCGAAGAGAGCGTCGCACAACACACCCCCACGCGCCGCTTACGTTCTCCACTCACACAAACACAGTTTCATCCGCACTCTTTTCAACACTCCTAATTATGGGGTTTTCGGCGATTTATTGACCACCGACTAATGGCGCGCGCTTCCTTTGACGCGTATGTCACGTTTATGTCATCGTAACTTTAAAATCACGTTTTCACCATTGTATTCTGTCATATTTATGCTGAAAATCCTTAAAATCCTCTTTTTGCCCAAATTTCGAAGCGCCTATCCTCCTACTTGTGTTCGGTCTTTGGAAAACTGAGGAAAATTTTGAAAATATCACATTTTTTTTTGATTTCTGCGCTCACGCATATGGCGCCCGTGCATTCGTTTCAGAACTTCCTCAGTCGGTATCGGCTGTATTGATTTTGATTGTTGATTAGTTGATCTACTTCGCATTCGTATAATTAACTACAAATGCGTTCAATCCAACGTTCATCTTGCGGTCAATCGATCTCGGGACCTCACATTATGCCCGAAAAAACAGCTGTCATGATCTTGCTCGGACTATTTATTCTTATCAACGTTTACCAATTAGTCTTGAAGTAACGTCCGTCGAGTACAAATGATTACTACTTGATATATGAAGTAACTAGTTTCCAAGGTAATACACACAATGACCGATCCCGAAGACGAGAAAGAAGATCAAGCTGGTCAGTCGGCGGTCCCAAATGGCGGTCTGGCCAGCTCGTCTACCGTACTTACGCTACCACCGAAGGTACGGTCCTTTTGAAGGCATGCCTTCTATGGCTGTAGTCTACTGTTCTACAAAAGTTTTTTCGCCTACAAGAATTTTACTTACTAGAAGAAGGTGAGCGAAGACCAACTGACCGATAAGGATTGGTCACGCCGCCTGTGTCTGAGGGTAGATATTTGCCACATGAGTGCAGTGTTTTTCTGAACATTTGTTGAGAGTAGGGTTTGGTTAGATCTCTGAAGCTGGTAATTTCAGGAGGGGAGGGGTTCATTTATAAGCACTTCCTTGTGCAAAACTAGACTTACCGTAATGGAGATGAGGAAAAGTGCAGATGAAAAATTGAAACAAGTAAAATATTGAGGGGTGCAGATGGAAGCAAATAGGTAGCAGCGTATGTGCCCTTAGTCGGAAGCCGAGCAGAACCACAGTCCCGCTTCTGTACTCTCCTCTAAGGGACGAAGGGTTTTTCTAAACCTCAGGTTCCCCAGTGGATGAATTAGTTCCAAGTGCGGGTAAGTTGTTCACAAGGAGCAGCATGGTTGGGGAATCTCGCCAGGGATAGTACTTCTCCGGTAGGTGGGGGGGGGGTCGGTTTTACCGTCTCAAGTGAGACACATCCTCTCCGTTCGCGACCCTTCGACGGGAGTTGGAGACTAACCGGCAAAATTTGAAAAAAAATCGTGTGAAATCGGGTAATGTGGTAGCAAGTCTACAGTACTTAGAAAGATGGTAGGTAATCAGGGGTAACATAGGGAAGGAGGTCGTACCGGAGGGACGGTTACGGGGCGAGGGGTCGTCTGACACCGCTATTTCTCAGCTGTACCCTGTCGGTTCAGAAGGCGTCCATCTCATTATCAGTTTGGCGCTGAGAGTCCTTCTTATACCCATTCAGGGTTAACTCCAGTACCTAGTAATTCTTGATCACTCTCCTCTTTTACCTAACTATTTGGTCTTTCAGATAGACTTGCCAGCTCCATCATCTGCTCTAATCGAAGAATCCATGCGTCTACTCGATCTCAAATCATCCGTACCGCCTACTTACACACCTGAAACCTTCACATCTTCACGACCTCCTCCAATTTCGTACGACTCTGATTATGGATCGACATCAGATTTCAGGTTCAGTGTTTTCATACCATGTTATTTTTAGCTCCCACAGTATCGATACGTATCGATCTGACAATAGGGATATTGCGGTTGTCGCCGCTGAATTTTCGGAGAACTCATGCACTAGGCGTGATTCTCGAACGGTTTTTCTGTGTGCATATCCGCTAGCTGTGGCTGCACGGAGAGCTTTGTCGGCTTACACTTCACTCTCCTCGGCAGCGGCAGCGTCGGCAACGAGAATCTACATCGAAATGATGTCATAAAATTGATAATTAACACTTTACAAAACACCTGCCACTAAAATTCTTAAAAAAGATTTCTGCTACAAAACATCAGGAACTGTTGAAAACAGAACATCAGCCATTGAACACATTCTGTATTTTGATGAGCAGAGCCTTTACACATGAACGTTTTTTGTCTCATAAGAAATTTCTCGTCTGTGGATGAGCAGGATGAGTCCATATGGCCAAGGCAGCCGAATAGAAATTCTTCTATTGGGTTGGTACTACAGCTATAATGGGGCGTGTAGTACAACGCGAGCGAGAGTCTATTATCGCTAATCGTTTTCTTACGTAGGGCCAAATGGTAGCTGAAAAGTGGCACAGGCAAAATGGAGTAAAAAGTGACATTTCTGCCTGCTCTAACGGCTGTGCAACATAAAACAAAGGACTCAGAGAAGGGCTGTCTAGTTCTAACAATTGAGAAGCAACTATCTTGGGTCATTGTAGTGTCAATGCATCTGCTCGTCGCTTCGTCTGGCGAGATTCCGAGCAAGGCGCGTTCGCTTCTGGTCCTGGTCCGCTGAGGGACGAGCGTTCTCGCCTGTATGAAAAATCGTTTTTGGTATTTCTGGACTTTTCTTAGGTTTTCCCTTCTTCTCGTAGCGGCTGGCAGTAATTCCTTCTCACCCCCCATTACTACGGCAGGTCTTCCTAAATAACAACGAAAAATTCAGAAAAAAAATAATTGAAAAGGTCATAGTCTAGGGGAGTCTTAGGAGCGTGATGGGTTGAAGGTGATATGGGAAGGAAGTTGGTATCATGAGGGGAGCTTTTGAGAAGGCAGCGTGGATTGCCTTATTCGCAGGATTTTTTTTTACAACGGCAGGGACACGCCCGTGAGTCATTACAGGAGATGATTAGCCCCATAAGGATTGCTACCGTTCCCTCTACTCCACCTGGGTTCCTCACATTAGCGACTGCGCGAGTGCATGAGTGAATATGGAGTGAAAAGTTTCTCTCATGTTCTTTGTTCACTTACTGGTTTACTTATCAGAGAACATGACAGTGTGAAAAGAAACTGATTAGGATTTGTGAAGAGCGGAAATCAGGTTCCGCTCTTCCAGAATTTGGGAACTAGAATGCGTTCTTATTGTACGCAAAGCCGATTTGTTATTACATTACTGGATTTACTGCTTTTCAGCTATTTATAGACCACTTTACCAAGTAGCTAGGATGACTGGTAGCTGATTCAAATAGGAGGCAAAGAATAGGCGTGTATTGCCTTGCGACGGACAAGGCCCATGTAGTGCCTAAGCAAAGACTGGAAAGGCAACACCGTTGAGCTTGAATTCTTCTGCTGAGGGAAGATACACTCTAGTTCTAGCTCGTATTTCAGGTACTACAACAAGGCGCACATTCAGCAGAAATTTGATTCTCATATTACGGAGCGTATACTTGCAAACGATTTAAGGCGTTGAACGGGACCGGGTACATTGAGAGAGCCAAGCGATTTCCACAGTTGTGGCGTGCCTCAGGATGCAGTTATTGGCGGATTGAAAAGCAATCCTGGAAAGTTGCGCTCACACCCACGCGCGCAGTTCAAACGGCGCCGTATCGTTCGTGTAAGAGGATCATGACTGCACCTGTTCGATTTCTAAAAATCTAGTGCTGGATGTGGGGTCAGATTTTTTTGAAGGAAGAGAGCTTTTCTCGGATAATATAATTGCTGTAGTCGAGCGAATTTTGAGCTGATGTACATCCTTTCCGTACCGTAAAGGTTATTCCCATTTCATTGTTAGAAATTTAATTCAATTTCCCTTTTTTTCATGGCGAAGGCTGTATTTTCTGGTCCATGGCGGTGTTAGGACGGTTCGTGGTAGATTCATTGTCGCCGATGCCATTAGCGAATTTGATAATTACTAAGATCCTTCGTTTTGGAAAGGTCCGTGACACTATATAAGGTACTCAATATAACGCAAGACGGAATTTGCCTGCGTTAGGCGAACATAATGTAACGCGGGCTCGTTCCTCCATCCCCCGCCCCCCTCCCGAATATTGCGGCGTTGGGGCCCACGACGTAGGTTCTTGGCCTTACATCGAGTTCTGAAAGTAAGATCTAGCGAATGAAAGTATACAAGTGATGGCAAGAAGTAATTTATGTCAATGATCACTTGGAAAGCGGAAATGTCGCCAGTAATTTTGCGATTCCAAGTCTTAGAAGAAATTAACAATAACATTAGAAGATTGATGAGAGGTGCTGATATATAGATAAGTACTGAAATCTGAGATTAGGGAACATTCTGGACCTATTCAAAACATAACCATTCTACCATCTCCTAAAATAAGTGTCATTTTTAGCACCACACGAATCCCAAAAGCGACGCCAATATTCAAAAGGATCGATTTTGATGATCGATTGGAGCATCTCTGCGATGACAAGAAACCGTCATGGAAATTATGGCAGGAAAGCGTCAAGGAGTCCTATCATAAGGTACATCAGATGTTAATTTTTGTGAGCCGTCCTCATCAAACAATCGCTACTAAATATTTGTAGGCAAAACGATCAGTAGAACGGAGTAAAGATGAATCGCAATTCCTTGAGTCGACATTGTCCCGAACGAGAAAGAGCCGTGCTGAAAGTCCTTTCAGGCATCTTGACACGGACACTGGATTTATTCCAAGCGTCAGGTAAGTACGCAAAAATTACCTACGAATCTTCGGAGTCTGAAGTGTTCTGTTTAGATCCCAAAGTAGTGTCTTTGCCCCGTCTTTAGCAGATCGATCAATGCTGGCATCGACTTCTACCAGTGGCCGTAGCTATGCAGGTTTGGGTTGATCTTCGGGGGTTTCATAGAAATTTTTCAAAGGTTGCGCTGTTTTCAGCTGGCTCTGGTCCATATGCTGCACCGGCGCTGTCGTTTTCTCAAGGAATGGAGTCACGATATGAGCAACGAGCTAACGACGTTGAAGCAATGTAAGTTCACAAATTAAATCAAAATTTTGCTCAGCTGGGGTAATACGCTATCACTTCATCCCCTACCTACCTGAGCGCTGAACTTTCCGTTCGAAAGTTAGATTTTACATTGCTGGCGGCATATTTAACCGTTTCATGTTCTCATAAAATTCATAAGTCACCTGATTCCTGCCTTGAAAGGCTATTAAAATATCTACTGGATTATCGACATTGGATCGTATCAGAGTTCCCACAACGACGAGATTTGCTGAATGTACACTCTATATCTCGACGATGGAGAGGGAGTGGCTCCGTAATCCGTTTGATATGACGTAAAATGCGTTTTCGTGCAAAAGTCCCGATCGATATGCTTTACCTGAAACGAGAGTCGAAAAGATGCAGATGACGGTGCCAAGCAAAGTCTTTCGTATGAGCCATGCACTTGACTTCCCTTTATGTCGTAGAAGCCTTTGGATGTTTATTCTGCTTACACATGTTTGCGGAAATCAAGCAAGATCCACTCCTATGATAGTCCTACAAACTAGTCTATGACGAAAAGCAAGGATTTCGGTGACGGTACAGCATTGTTGGGAGAGTCCCAACAGGGAAGCGCGGGGTCATAATAAGATTTTCCTCGATGTTTTTTTCTGAATTTTCACTTTCCTCGGTCACCGTTTCATGTCCTCTTAACCCCTGACCCCCGTCGCCGCAGAGCTACCATACATATCCATTATTCGAATAGATGGAACCAGCGGTGGATTGGTGGGTCGAGGACGACCCCCGCCTTTTCTTGAGGCCATTTTTTCCGGGGGTCATCTAGAATTTTTTTTTTTGGAAAACTGGTGAAAATTTATTTGGGATTAGGGGCCAGGGCGGAAGAATTTTTCACTTTTGTGGGGGGGGGGGTCCACTGAACTGCCATTTCACACGTCACGATGCCGTACCCTGCTTGAAAACGCTCAGGAGGTCTTCAGCGCCTCAGGGGGGGGGTCTGTGACACGAAGTGAGACACAGCTACTCTTAGCGACTGCATTTCCGTCCATTACTGAGCAAAATAGTTTCTTAGCGGGTAGAGGTATTTAATGACATTTTGAGGTTGCTGAAAACAGCACCGCTACCGACACGCATGAAGATTACCGCAAAGGAATTTCGTAACGCTCCTGCTCCGTCAGCAGGATCGGCATCTGAACGTGACGACTACGATTTTTCTGTAAGGATTTTCTATCATCGATAATTTTTGTTCATACTCACATAGCAGCCTACTTTATGATCGCGATCAGCCCCAAATAATAAGAATCTGATAAAAACAGTCTCCAGGTGTACTGCCCCAAGCCGTACTACTCACGCCCCAACCGAGATGATCCGGATTATTTCGACTTCGATTTACAACATTCCGTAGACTTATTCAAACGACCAGAAGGAAAGTACACTCCACGAGGGTGAGGCAGTTCACCGTTTGAGTCGTTACGTAGGCTAACTGGCACTTTTATTGATTTCCTATAGATCATGTTTACCGTGTGAAAAAAAATCACGAATCTGTTTAGACCGCAGGAATGGGAGAAGAAATTGCTTGGCGAGGTTAGCGCCAAGGGCTCAACCCCTGTATCTGGTTATATGTTCACCAAGGTATGATTTCAATATTTTAATTTGATCGAGTTGAACTGACTAATTCTATTTTGATATGCTCTCCACTTTTGTTGACTTATTTTAAAGATTTAAACAGCTCCACGGCAGTTCCATATTGTTTTGTAAATATTTCATTACTGTAAAAATGTTTATTTATTTATTAGTTTGATACATTAGGCACTGGGGATAGTCAGACAGAGTACGTACACTGGGGCGTTTTAAAGGGGTGGGGCTAAGTTTGGCGCGGCACCTGGCTGTTCTCTACCAATTGTAGTTTCCTGCCAGTTTGCCATTTGGTGGGGAAGAGACTGGAGTCGCGCCAAACTCAGCTGCTCAGCTCTTCTCGAGAATTGCAACGGTATCACATGTAAAAAGGGAACAACTACTAATAGTAGTTGGTTCTCGATGCCAAATATGACCCCCCCCCCTCCCCTATCCCCTGTGGCCTGACACGATCCTCTTTATTTTGCATTGTACTTCATTGACGTGTTCTGTGCGTCAGGCACGTTTTTTTTGCGAGGAAAAAAACGCTGCTGTTTCGCAGCTGATTAGAAGAAACTGCTAGACTTTGCCCTCATCCCACCCATACTTTCCTCTGATTTGGTTTTGGACTCGTGGCTGCACCATTGATCCGTCCACGGTATTCAGTCTCCAGCGTAGACCCAAGACACTTCCTCGACGCCTCTTCCAATCCGAACAGCTGCCCACGATTCCATCTTGCGGAACGAATTCTCGCAGCTGTTCCACTTGCTTCTGCCAAAGAAAATGATCGTCTGACTCCCTAGAATGAACAATCTCGCATCGTACGCATTGTCCGCACCAGATACACAATTAATCTGACGATTTACATTTCGTTCTTAACCATCGCACGCCATGAAGAACGCCTGGCTGTAAGAGATGCAGTATACGGTCTCCTGTAGCAGGAAATTCCACGGCCATATCGTTAAGAATAAGCAAAAAAAAGTAGGAAACACTCAGAATTATTAGACTCGCGTTTACAACAAAGCGACAAGACATGTGGCTTAAATGAACGGTAGCACTGACGAACATGTCAATTCCCACGTCAAATTAATAGTCATAGTACCGACCATGCGACGGCACTGCTTGACAACTTTTTCTGCTCCGCCTAGGATCACTTGCATCACCTTCCAGTCATATCTCCTTCTGATGCTCAAAAGTCTGCGCGGTGTTCGGTTGGTAACTCCCTGAAATTCGCGTCCTCACAATTTTCCTGACCTGGATGCATCGATAAAAACGGTATTCCTCGAGTCTGAAAGCGTATACCTGAATATCGCGAATTCGCGAGGGCCGTTGGCCACGATAATTCCTGTATTGGCTAGTATGCCCAGTGGGGGGGGAAAATGGCCAAAAAACGAAGTGAAACGGTCGAAAACTGCGAAGAAAAGCCTCTTTTTCTAATAAGCGATTCTGGACGAGTTTCCCGGAGGCATCTTGCCAACAATCGCTACGGTAGATACCGTATGCACTCCATGCAGCACCGCAACCGCTTCATACCAATCCTTTCGCTTCATATTTTACTTAGCAAATGAATCAATACAAGCATCAGGTACGGTCGTCCATTTGTGGGCGGGCGGGCGCAGTGGGCGTTGGGTCGGTATGTTGTGGCTTGATAGGGCCTTATAAGGGCACCTTCCCTTGGAAAAGGCGCTACGCAGCGCCTGCTCAGGGTCGCGGAATTCCGTCCTGCCAGGCGTATTAATCCTACTCGTCTGGGATTTATCGTGCCAACTGCCTTTACTTTGAAGGAACTGAAAATATATCCAATGGAAGCTCAGAGTATTCTTATGGTGGCCGTACATTTCCATTGAACGTTGATAATGTCGTCATTGCAATATTTATACACGAAATAATGTGTAAAAACAATGTGAAACTCCAAAATTTATTCCAAAAAACTCAAAAGACAACAAAAGTCTCAAAAGTTTTTCAAAATATCTTATCTTGCAATATTTCGGTGCGTAGCACCTTCCTCAGGCCTAAATATTCCGGTATACAAAAATTATGGGTAATAGAACGCGTGGACAAAAAAAAACGAGAAAAAATGATGTTAAGGGCGATTCTGACTGGCGTACGAATGGCTCGTCGTACCTGAGTGCCGCCTTGCGTACACCAAAATTCTGGGAGCAACGATTTGAGAGTCTAGGAAAACAAGTCAGAGACAGTAACCCTATAAGTCTCGATAGTATCAACAGGTAAGAAAAGGTTCTTAGTGCCTGCTAGACGTGTTGATCTTATTGTGGTCCTCGTCATGTCCATGTTGGGTGTTATGTCCTTGTTCTGTGATGTTTTCGTTCAATTCAGAAGGATACGTGAAATCAGAGAAAGACGAATGTGAGGATGCATGTTTTATCTCAACGTATTACCTCTGCTATATGTATGTACTACCAGAACCATACCTTATCCTCATTCTGAAAGGCATTGGGCACGATGGCAGTGGGCGGGCGGTTACTGTCAACGTCATTGGTGGAAGGGCTGAGTGGGTGTGGCCAAACGCTCTCTCGCAGCCTTCCACCAATGACGTTGGCAGTAACCGCCCGCCCCCTACCATCATGCCCATTTCCTTTGATATAACCATTAAAAACCTCTAACTATTAATTTTTTCCGTAAAACATGGTTAAAAGTCTCACATAACATGCTACTTCCAGGAATCGCCCTACTCCAAGCAGATTTACCGAATATTCTGATCCAGATTTCGAAGACTACGACGATCCCAGATCGGCTGACTAGGAGAGGAGTAAATATCCAGTGTAATGCAGAACTAAACTCAATCTGAGTTCAATGTGGCGACCAGAAATTGTTTAGTTTTTTTCAGTTTTATCAGTTAGCTTTGTTTTTTTACTTCCCGAGCTTTTTGATATATTGGGTTTATTTTCGCTGTTACACACTAGGTGCGTACGTAATTTGATAGGTGAACGAAGAGACGCTCCTCTGCAAAATTCGTACATTGATCGCATCTTCCCAAGAATCGATACTTGCAAGTAGAGTACATCATCGTTGTGTAAAATAGAGCGGGGCCGTATCTGCGGCGGGTGAAGGGGACTGACCTCGAGAAGCTCTTTCCAATTGTCAGTTCTCCCGTTCACGCCCTTCAGGCTCCTTCATCCCCTTCCCCACCCACCAGCCAACTTCTGGTATCCTGAGTGGAATGGTGGGGCAGGTTTGAAAGGAGGTTGCCCTGAAAAGGAAAGCTTTGGAGGGAGTCGTAGTCAACGAAAATCCTGCACATCGCGATGACTTCTCCTGTGCGCAAGTGTCGGCGCTACATATACCTCTATATCTCGAAGGTGGAGAGGGAGTGGTCGTGCCGTCCGTAAAAACGTGGCGCGACTGCGCCTCTGATGGGATATTTTCCTTTTGAGACAATTTTAATCCAATCCTTCCCATCTTTGCCCAAATTGACAGTGGTCTCAAATGGAACTGACTCATGAAAAACGCATCTTAAACCATGATCAAATGAAATACGCACCCACGCACTCACCATTTCATGAATATGGAGTGTAGTTGGGGGGGATATTCGGCCGCACATCTGTGTCCCTTTTTTAGAAAAGCTCAGGTTCCAAGCGCAGACTACCAGAGTCGCCGAGGGACGGTTTCGCGAAAAATCTACTTGTCACTAAGCTCAAGTTTCGATTAGGGAAAGGGATATGGAAGCGAG